TCGGTTTTTTAAATTGAAAACAAAAACGATCTTTCTTTTTTCTTTTTTTTAATCAAGACACTTATTTTATTTCGGTGTATTCCAACAGCCACATTGTTACACAAGTGCAACTAGCCAATTACAGGAAGCCGAAGGATTTATCTCGCCATGAGTGACGGTTAAGGTTGTGTGTGTACCATACTTTCTTTGCCCGAGACCTTGCTGCAATGTGCAGCTCCTCATTTAACCCTCACACCCGATTTCTCGAGTATTCGGCTGAGTAGACCGGGGGCTGCATAGACCACTCAGGATCCTTAGCTGAACGTCAACGACGCTCACCCCACGACCAGGCAGACAGTGGGATTCGAACTCGCAACCTCACGATTGCAAAGCTGGCGTTCTTACCAACCATGCGCTACCTGGCCTTAAAAGAGTAGGAAATACAAGATCAAACAAATAATAACTCTATAACGTGATTACTTAATCAATTTGCTTACGAGATACAAAATACTTGCTAACCTTGTTTAAAACTTTTAATTAATATGCTTGCCTGAGTCTACTGTCTCCACCGCTGAGAAGATGAGAAGGATGATGATTTTAGACATAATCTCTCGGCTTACTCACATTATCAAAGAAAATGAAACTGAGAAATGAGAACTGAGCAGAGCTGGTTAGAAATGGTTGATCCTGCACTGTATTACTAGGATATTCCACGTGACTAAAAATCACCACCTGACCAAGTTGTGACCTATCATAAAATAATTACTGTCGTTTTCAAGCCAATGAGAAACTTAGGACTAAAATAATAGATTTTTTTGGACACCAATATCAACCACCAATATCTAAATATTATTCCTTTATAACTTCTTGAAATGCAAATACAATGAAAAATATGGTATTCTTTCGTCCGCGTCAGGCATCTCAGCAAGGTTGAGCGCAGACCATCGACACAGCTGCTTGTAATGGCATAATCGATTGTCAATCCCGTTCACAATTATTTGTAAAGGAGCTTACAAGCTATTCTTAGCTACCTACCCCTCCCCCTCTATTCTTTGAATTCGCAAACTTGCAATAGATTACTATAGTCGATTTAAAAACACTGAAAACGAACTACTCTGTGCTGCATTTCACGAACAGATCATGCTGGGCCTTCCTTGGTATACCAACATCTCAAAGCTTCTCACCAAATACAACTTCATTATCCTCTCATCTTCCTCAAAATCTAAGCTCTCCACCCAAATCAGTCATAACTTGAGGAAATAATTCGTAAATACCTGGAAATCTGCCAAGGCCTCCTCACCAAAACTAGAATTCTATAACTTAATTAAACATGATTTCGAACCAGAGGCATACCTACGAATTATCAAAATACCTGATGTTGATCGAAAAAGTCTGACAAGGTTTCGTATCAGCTGCCACAACCTCTATATCGAAAGGGGCAGATACAAAACCTCCCTTGTACCAAGAGAAGAACGTTGGTGTACTTAATGCTTTTTCAGCAAAGGGCTCAAGCCTATTGAGGACGAAAGTCACGTATTAATGGCTATCCTGAGCAGAGCTGGTTAGAGATGGTTGATCCTGCACTGTATTACTAGGATATTCCACGTGACTAAAAATCACCACCTGACCAAGTTGATGATGACTGTCGTTTTCAAGCCAATGAGAAACTTAGGACTAAAATAATAGATTTCTTTGGACACCAATATTAACCACCAATATCTAAATATTATTCCTTTATAACTTCTTGAAATGCAAATACAATGAAAAATATGGTATTCTTTCGTCCGCGTCAGGCATCTCAGCAAGGTTGAGCTCAGACCATCGACACAGCTGCTTGTAATGGCATAATCGATTGTCAATCCCGTTCACAATTATTTGTAAAGGAGCTTACAAGCTATTCTTAGCTACCTATCCCTCCCCCTCTATTCTTTAAAGCCTGCAAACTTGCAATAGATTACGATTATCAGCTCAATATCTATCTACCTTATCGGACCTTATTTGGACGGACATTACATGAACGGACATAATTATGAACGGACATTATTATGAACGCTCAAAGGCATTCAAAACCATTAAAAATCCGAACTTTTAATTTCAGCAAATGATTTTTAAATCCATTTTTTACACAGTAAGTAAGAAAAGCAGTCATTAAGCAGTAAAAATGTTAAAACATGTGTACATGATCAGTGTCTAATATCACATATCATCTTCATCAAATGAGTTTTCGTGCATGAAATAGCCCATGCTTAAACAAGCATCAGTGATTTCTAGCTTTATGGAAACCTTTTTATCAAACTACCCCGGTCCTGCATTTCAGTGTTAACTTTTACAAGCCATTCGGCGTGAAGTGGTTTTATCTTAGACAACTTTAGGTTAACCTTAACATCACGTGGAGCTTTCCTAGCACATTTAAAACAATATGAACTATAACAACGTCGGACAATGTCCTTGGCAACACGATTTACCGTAATATCTAGAGGTTGGAACAAGTTTGTGATCATGTTGGCGGGGACTATGGCTTATGAACTATGTTGTTGAGTGCCATAATTTCGTTGACTTTTTCCGCCAAGTGACCCTTGAAAACATCATATACTAGTAGAGTTTTCTGTGCCTCCGGCAGACCAAGGAGAACCTTTCCGTCGTTAACTTACGGCACAATAAGTTCTCATAGTTGTCATATTCTGGACAAAAAGTTCGAAATGGAAAAATTTTTGAAAAAATTTCAACAGACTTTAACTTGGACGGACATTAATTTGACGGACTTTATTTGAACGGACATTAAGATGAACGCTAGGGCCTCCATGAGCGTTCAAGTAATGTCCTTATGTCCGTCCAAATAAGGTCCGATAAGGTAACTGTGGATTCTGTGTTTAAATATTCGTAAAAAATGAACAAAATCGCCCTTATCTCAGTTCGCGATTTTTGCAAAACTGATTTCGCTCAAAACAATAGAACTCAATAGAGTTTTAACAGTTGTTCATGAAATTTTCAGGATCAACGTAGAATCGCATTTCGACCTTAATTGTTTTGTCGTGGAAATTTTAGTTAGGCCTTTAAATTTAAAACAATTTGGCGGCCAAATTCTGAAAAATGCACAGCAAATTTTAGAATTTTAGTTAAATGGCATTATATATGAATGAGTATAAAGTGGCATATTCAGTCAGTGATCGACAGATATGCTTACCTAAACGCAAGGAAATGTTTAAAAAAAGGTAAAATTTCGAAATCGTTGAAATTACCTCCTTATTAATGAAGTTATGAATTTACGTTTTGACTTTGTAAAGTACCCTGACATTATAATCAAAAAGAGATGATATTTGACCAAAATCCATACTCATGGGTAGAGACTAAAGTGGACCGTTGCCAGTGTCTCTCTTTCTCAAACAAAAGAAAATGATTTTAATTTGAATAACCGAGAATGAAATCGGTCGCTCGCTTTTCCCATTCATTCACGCGGCTTACGAATTGTAATAAATTTCGATTAATTACAGCAATCACATGCTGCAAAAATCTTTTTGGGTTGCTCTCGGGTCAATACCTAGTATTTCGGGATAAGGGCAGTATAGTTAGTGTCCAATTAGCTGGTGTTTATTGAATCGTTATTGCCGAGTACAGCTGCCTTCGGGTAGTTCTTCTTAATTTATTACGATTGTAAATGAATGGGAAAAGCGAGCGACCGATTTCATTCTCGATATCATTTTGCATTTACGGACGGTCATTCAAATTAAAATCATTTCCTTTTGTTTGGGAAAGAGAGACACTGGCAGCGGTCCACTCTACTCATGAGTATGGGTTTTGGTCAAATAATGTATTGATTTTTAAAATGTTTAGGATATTTTCAAACAAAATTTTTGATATCTAGCAACCTGCGGTTGGAAATTTTAGCTAAATCCCTAAACTAGTACTCGATTCCTAGTCGTAACTCGTATGTGATTTTATAAAATGTGATCTGTGGTCGAAATATAGCGTACCATAGAATTTAGATCTATAAAACGGAGTACCTACGATCAGTTACCCGGTGTGCTATGATAGCAACAATTATGTTGTATTTGCTTACTAACAATTGATTATGAGATGAGTTAAGCACCAACTCTTAGTGATCAATTGTCTCAATTAGCTCCATTTTGATAATACGATGTGCAAATGATTATACTTGAACCGCATGATATAAGTAGAAAGCAAACAAACGAACAGCGAGTCCTGCAACTAACAAGGTGTAGATTTAATTTTTCCTTTGTTGTAGTTTTGATCTTGTGAGGTGAGTTAAGCACCAACTCTTAATGATCAACTGTCTCAATTAGCTCCCATTATGATTATACGATGTGCAAATGATTATACTTGAACCGCATGATATAAGTGGAAAGCAAACGAAAGAACAGCGAGTTCTGCAACTAACAAGGTGTAGATTTAATTTTTCCTTTGTAGTTTCGATCTTGTGAGGTTAGTTAAGCACCAACTCTTAGAGATCAATTGTCTCAATTAGCTCCCATTATGATTATACGATGTGCGCCAAATGATTATACTTGAACCGCATGAGATAAGTGGAAAGCAAACGAACGAACAGTGAGTTCTGCAACTAACAAGGTGTAGATTTAATTTTTCCTTTGTAGTTTCGATCTTGTGAGGTGAGTTAAGCACCAACTCTTAGAGATCAATTGTCTCAATTAGCTCCCATTATGATTATACGATGTGCAAATGATTATACTTGAACCGCATGAGATAAGTGGAAAGCAAACGAACGAACAGCGAGTTCTACAACTATAACAAGGTGTAGATTTTATTTCTCCTCTGTAGTTGCAATCTTCGCTTGCAGTAGTTGCCTTGATTGCTTGAGATCGAAAATTTCAAAAATTTTAGGGACAATGTTAAATTTTCTGACCGTCAGAGGTTAAAGAGTCAGTGGAGTCAGTCTATAGTTCATCAGTTCATAGTTTCATGAATTTACAACACCATATAATTATAAATTGAAATGGTCAGCGATTATCAAAACTGATATTTATTAACATTAAATCTACAGTAGCCTAAGGCTAAAGAAAAGAAGCTAAAATGAACATAGCAATAGCTATAATAGTGGCAATGGTGGCACGAGCTCAATCGCTTCTTTGTTACGAGTGCAAAGACTCGTATTTAGCACCAATAGACAAGACAGACACCTGTAAACTAGACGACCGTGTCTGGTGCAAGGGGGAGGAGGTATGCTCAACCACCTATGTATCGTTCGTAACCGGTAATGACAAAAACTGGATAAGAGGTCATAATTGTATGGACAAGGCACTAGTAGACGCAACATATTCCCGAGGAGCTAAAATAGAATCTGACCTTGCTGCATCTTTCGAGGATTTTAGTGATTTTACCTTTGAGATAGAATTGTGCGAGGAGAATCTGTGCAACTCAGAGATTTACTTAATAGAACCAGGTAGAACATATGAATTTTTCAGTATTTATCCTGCAATTCGAAGCCCATAAATTAGTCAAATATACATTTTTTTTTAAAAATCTAGACACTTATTTTTACTTCGGTGTATTCCAACAGCCACAATGTTACACAAGTGCAACCAGCCAATTACAGGAAGCCGAAGGATCTTTTTGGCCAGTGACGGTTAAGGTAGTGTGTACCATACTTTCTTCGTCCGAGACTTTGCTGCAATGTGCAGCTCCTCATTTAACCCTCACACCCGATTTCTCGAGTATTCGGCTGAGTAGACCGGGGGCTGCATAGACCACTCATGATCCTTAGCTGAACTTCGACGACGCTCACCCCACGACCAGGCAGTCAGTGGGTTTCGAACTCGCAACCTAACGATTGTAAGACAGGCGTTCTAACCAACTGCGCTACCTGGCCGCTTAATTTTTGAGTGAAACTGACTTAATATATTTCTTCCCGATTCATGACTCAAGTGCCGAAAGCACAAATAAGTCAAGGACAATTATGGGTTAGCGAACGAGGTTTTTTTTTTCTTCTTCGTATATATGGATTATGGTAGCTTGCGACCGTCGTATGTCGTGGGTACGTGTCCACACTCAAAGATGTCGCCCCGCTCCCACTAGATCGCTCGGCCGCTCGCCTAAATGTTATGAAAATTCTTATGAATTTGAAAAGGCCCTAATATAAGGGTATGAAAGTGATAAATTTTGGTATATTTTTGGACGCTGATTCCGAATCACCTACCATGACGTAGGGTATAAATGCTTCCCTGAATGAAGAGTTATGGGAAAAAAACTGTTTTGGTCACGTGACAGGCTAGTTAAACACGAATTCGATTGTTTAGGGCTCGGCCGGGTTAAGGTTAGGGTTGTGGTTAGGGTTATGCATAGCTTCGGAGTTTCAGTTATGGTAAGGGTTAGGCTTGGGATTAGGGTTTATGTAAAACCGTTTTTTCGGCTGCAAAACCATAAACAAAGTCAAATGGTAATTTTTGGGCAAGCGAATTAGTAAATGAAAGCGGTCACTTCGCCATATCTGCATGCTTATAAAAGTAAAGCCATGGAATATGATAAAATACACCATCACAGATCGGGAAATTGAGCGGCCATCTGCAAACTCGCAAAAGAAAAGCAATCGCAACGTGCATTTTCTGATTTTCAAATTTTTAAAAATCACAATTTTGTTGTTACTAATACTAGTGCAAATTGGATTCACTGCACTTTTTATTTATTTTTAAACATTGAAAATATAATGGTAAATCAATTTTGTTTTTAAATACATAGCTTACTGAATGAATGTATTTTCGAACACATGACATAGGCTTAAAATGTTCCCTGGCGAGATATTGTGAAAAACTATCCTGATCACGTGATATGACCATATAAGGAAGTTGGTCTTATTTCTCTCTAGGGTTCCGGTTAGGGTTTCAGCATATGCCTTTGTTAGGAATTGGCTTAGGGTTGGGATCAAATTATAGGGTTAGGATTTCGAATAGTCATTCATAACGGCTGACGGACAACTGAGAACCTGTCAATTTTACCTAGTTAACTAATTAACAATAACATGCAAGCTTGGAAAATCTAATCAGCTCTCGTACTTGAGATTGTATGTCTCGTATCACTCCCATTGCATGCTCGGATCACATCCTTAGATACGAGAACCAGCCCCTTTCGGACCCAGCTCACGTCCGTTATGTGAACACATGCCGAGATCTCAAACACTTCTTAATGTACTTCATAATACACAGCTATAGCTACTTACTAAATTGTCATATAAACCCTACCCAGGTTCTTTGTGGTCTGGCTGTTAGGATGGTTGGTAATAACATGGATCACATCACAAATGATAAGTCACTGATTGGGCCACGTGATGTGATACCTGTGGGAGCCCGGAATGAGAGGTTCTTAGTTGTCGGTCACCGTTCATAACTATTCAGTATTCCCACTGGGTGAGAACGTGTTAAAAATGTCATGTGACAGTCGAGTGTAGATCGAGTGATTTGCGCGCGGTGGGCCCACAGTGTGGGGCAACTACGTACAATTAAATGATACCAAAAATCTGTAAAACCGAGAAACTAAATATTTTCGATCACCACTCAATAATTAAATATATTTTGGTATTTCAGTACTTGTCTGTAACAAGCCAACTATTGATAACGGTGTGGTTTCTCCGGATAGACTGACAATAGGGTCTGGATTTACTTACTCGGTAACCTGTGACGAAGGGTTCGTAATCTCTGGATCCCCAACCATAAATTGTGACGGCGATCAACTCTCGGAACCTCCAACATGCAAAATAGGTGAATTTGTTAATCTATTCAACCCTGTCCGTTAATTTCTCAGTGATATTAACCTTAACACCCTTTGGACGCGAGCAGGTATTAAATATCATCGATCACATGTATTCACGCGCATTCTCTTGTAACTACCATAGATAGATAAATTATCATTTTAAATACAAGTATAATTTTCAAGGGTGTAGGAATAATTTTTTTCATGGGGGGGGGGGGGGGGGGGGGGGGGGGCAACTCCACTTTATACTGTTCTATGGCCATTTCAATTTGTCCTACGTCCAATCCATCTCCTCGTTTTGGTCCATATCCTTTTTCTAAGTCTAACAAGACAACATCATTGCTTTAATTAATAATAAAGATTTATCGTGAGACACAATGTTGAGGGAGAAATATCTAAAAATGTTATTTATTTCATTTCCACAGGGGCGTGCAAGGTAGAACTGGCGGAGGTAAAAGACCAATTAGAGATTGCTAAATGTCCGGAACAACCCACATGGAGTGTACCAAGTACGTATAACTATATAATATACTCTGCTGTGTTTTGATATGCTAGATTGTGCTGTGTTATGTATACCTTATCGGTCATAATTATCACGGATAAGTTATTCACAGACATAATTATTCACGCTCATGACGGCCCTAACATTTCCAGAAAATTGTGAAAATTGGTGGTGATTTTTTAATAATTGTTTTATTCTTTTTCTGAACTCTAGAATGTGACTGATGAGTGATTATATTTGTCCTAGTATACTAATAAGCTAATATAATAATCGGCTACACACATATCTACGTATGTCGTATAAGTAGCTAGGGACAGTGGGACACACACACTAAAATTAATGGAAATAATTACCGATCTTTATTATTCACGGACCTTAATGCCACAGACATTATTTTCACGGACATAATCATTCACGCTAAGGTCTTCAGCGTGAAAGTAATGTCCGTGGACCGTGATAATTATGACCGATAAGGTAGGTACGCTACAGAAATATTTTGTGCTGTGTTCTGATACGCTATAGTTGGTGTTGTGTTCTGATACGGTATAGTTTGTGCTGCGTTCTGATACACAGGTTAAATGAACCTGATGACTGATAACAGTTTGTAACATATATTACAATATTTCAGAACAACTTCTTGGAAAGAAGCTTACGAGAAAGACCCTCAAGAAATTGATGAGGAAGCCAGAAACCCAAAACGTCGGAAACGTCCTGAGTAAGACTTATTTTTTCAGTATTTTACTTTTAAACTCTACCATTATAAGTGGTGAAACTGACCTTTTAAAAACTGACCGGCAAGCATCCCTTATACTTATCACTGCTACCATGGTAACCCGCTAGTACGCTACCTTAGTATACCCTTATTTATCTCACTGCTGCATTGCAGTAACAAACAATAGCTCACTCCCTCTATAAAATTAACGTACAACGTAGAACTCAGACTCTGTACAACGTGGTCATTTTACGCTAATTCTTTCATCCTAAAAACCGCATTATAGAAAGGGACTACTGTACAAATTTTGGTAAAAATTTTCCAAATTTTTAATAAACAAACAACCCACTATGTGTAACTGTAAGCATTTAAAATGTAACTGTGGTTTTAATACAATTTTATAATTTCAATCCCTCAAAAGATAAAATTAAATATTATTAGAGAAACTATTCTGATGTTAAAGTTAAATTAAGTATTCTTCCAATTTGAGTTGATTTTTGTTTGTATTTCCCGTTGAACTGTAAATTTAATACATTATTCGATCCGCAGAGAAATATAAGGGTACAAAGTTGACGAATGGACTCGCAAAATACATTGAATGTTATACAGATATGACCGAAGCATGAACTTTAAACTTTTATGGAATTTGAGGATTTGAACGAAAAATATCAGGACGACTTTGTTTTGCAAAATTAATTATACTATAGAGCTTGTTATACACAAACTTAATCTAAGAATATATGCGTATGCCGTTATTTTACACATGTTAATATTTTGGTTATTTAAAAAAGTGGAATACAGTTCTATTATATATTTAACAGGACCTATCAAAAGATTTTGTTGACAGGTTTAATGTTTATTTATGTTTAGCTATGTTATAGTGTTATGTTATGCTAGTTTTATAATTATTTTATTATATATATAATCTCAAAGTTTCATTTCTGTTGTTAAGGAAAGATTCAAAGTCACCATCATAATTTAGTACAAATATAAGATCTATACTATATTTTAAACTTGACGAAATCCCCCCGGCAACGGGGACATAGAAAAAAAACACTGGAATTCGACCAAAAAAATTACCCTGGTGACGCCAATTTCAGCTTGCAAATGGAGCTGAAACCTCGCCATTTTTATCAGGGTTTAAAAAGGATAGGAATAGGATGTAGCATTAGCATTCTTAGATTTAGACTTTAGATTTTTTATCATTATTGTCGGAAGTGAGGTAAAATAAACGTTAGAATAATGTTGTAATTTCATTAGGTTTACTGCGCCGTTGCTAATATAATAGCAACGGCAAGAGATTGTACGTGCGCGAGCAAGTTACGTCATAACTTCATAACTAGCTCACATTCACCTATTTACCTATTTTAATTTACGATCATGCTATGACTATATTCATAACTTTGGTTGTGATTGATATTTTTTGATGCGGTAAAAAGTATAAGTATAATATACTAATATGGACACGTTCATTTGAGTTTGAGGATATTGGTAAACAAAAATGATAGTGTTTTCGACGATAGTGGCTTAATTTTGACATCTATTAACCTAGCACGTTCAGAAGTTCTGAAAATTACTATTAGCCACGTAACCCATAGTGGCCATACTCCCATAATTACATATGCACTGCTCAGAAAGACAATCTATTGTTGTTAGACACTATAATGGTTCAAATGTTACATTTTGTGTGTCTTAGTTAACTGCAGTTGTCTAATTATCATTCCTTGGTCTGAAATATAGTAGATTAGGTCAATCTAACAATTATGATACAACATTGGTTAAAGGGCACGGATCGAAGTTCGAACGGTTACAAGGCAATACTTGGGTAACTTTGTCACACTCAGAATACCATACCTCTATTCTACTGTGAGCGAGGTGTCCTCTAAAACCTTTTAATTCATTATTTGATGGTTGATCTACCAATCATAGCCCTAAAATATGTTGTTTCGAATAGTTAGCTAATACAGGCACTTTGTTATTGGGAAATGAGGTTAATTCTGTCACAATAAATGGAATTTTAAATTTTGGGCGAATTATTTATATCTGATTTTGGTTTGAAAGGCGGGAAAACTTTACATGATGACAATGTAGTTGATGCAAGTTAAGATCAGTTGATGGTAACATTGTCACAAAAAATGATACGAAATCGTAAATAGGTTAAAAAACAATGATTATAGAATGAAATAGTATCTTATAAAGTTACAATAACTAATGTGACAAAGTAAACATGCCGTGCCCCTATTTTGAAGATCTATATATTCTATGACTCTATTAGAGTTCAACATTCTTTCAGAAAAAAATCGGTAGAATATTGTCCAGAACATCAGAGCTCAAGTTTAACAATTTTAGATTAATTTGTCAAAGACACTGAAAATGTGACAAAATTGCCCTAAACATTCTTCACATGTTTTTCTTAAATGTGTGACAGAGCAAACCTGAGTGCACTATATAACGAAAAAAGTCTTCAAATATGTAGGTAATGGTCATATGTACCCATCCAATCAACTGGACACTCAAAAATGTGGTCAAAAACGGCAGCAAGGGGTCCATATTTACTCCGTCACATGTTTATAGTGTGAAATTGTAACCATTTCCGTGCCGGCCGTATTTAAGCGATACATTATCTCCGATTAAGATAACGTTAAGTGAAAAAGTTAGCCTAGAGGATGAGACGATTATCCGAACAATCAAGGGTTTGTGTAATTTCATAGTGTGACAAAGTCAATTACACTGTGCCTTTTAATAGGGTCACTTATATTTACCAATATCCTCAAACTCAAATGAACGTGTCCATATACTATTACTCTATTAAGCTATTACTACCTATTTGAACACCAATCATGTCAAACGTGAATCCAAGCTTCTCAACAACTTCAAATTTCAAATATGTATCGAGATTGCACTCAGCTGCACGACTTAGAGGGACCCCAATTATATCAGGGGTCCCACGGCGATCAGATCATGTCTCCATATAGTGACGTATAAAGGTATAATCAGTGATGTGATCCCAGTAGTATTTAATTGACCTAGAAATGGGCTAGATATAGGTTAGTGTTCACACTTCACATGTCAACTCTGTACATCAATATCATTACAGCTGTACATGATCTTTAAGAATTTTCTGCCTCCCATTTTAAGTCAATCAAATTCTATCCATCGATCACACCACCAAATAATCTTCACTGATTGGGTGACACGATATGATCACTGTGTGACCCCAGGTCTCAAGCGGTGGGTTGTAACAGGTCGTTTAACAAGATTCGACATTAACGAAAAAGGTAATATAATCTAATGAACACAAACAGCATGGCGAAGCTAATAAGTTAGGAACGAGGGTTCGATCTGCTTTTCGTTTGTGGTATGACCACGGCGCGGTCCTTTCGGTACAGATTTCAATGCACCATAGTCAGGACGCAACTCCAGCCAGGCATATGCAGTCGTGTTAATCTCGCAGCTCTCACGAGAGCCACTACCATTCACACCATGGGTTGCAGTGAGTGATCACAACGACACACTTGTGAAATGAAAATTTGCAATTTTGTAAAATTCACTCGTGGAAGAAGCTAATAATTAATTCATAATGCTTGTAAAACGCAACGACGCACCTGTGAAATGAAAATTCGCAATTTTGTAAAATTACATTGAAACTATAAACACCGGTACTAGTTCGTACTTTTAATTTAACCGTACCAGTACGTACTTTTAACCAGGTATGATACGTACTTCTCATTTATAATAATATGTCCATGTAACTTCTTGAATTCGGCCTACAAAATGACATATAAAGTGTAAAATCGCCTCTCAGCGAGGGATTATCATCATAAACTGGGAAGAATCGGTTAAATGGATCATTATACGATTATACTACTATACCCACTTATAGGACCACACAATTGATTGATAAAGTACATTGTTGTCAAACTTTAAAAAATATTAGTATAAAAACATGTTATATCTTGATTATTACTCCTGTGTACATAGTTTTTAAAAGGCATCCACAAGACTACAGTCATCCCCTCCACAAGACTACAGTCATCCCCTGTTCGATGAAATCAAAACAAGATTGACGGGATTCGTCACAAACCCAAATCCTGACGAACCACATTCAAACCTTACCGATGCCGAACAGAGAGGAAAGGGCTGGGTCTTGAAATCAATAGAGGATCAAAGTATATTCGTCACGAGTGCGGACAAAGGTGGAGCTACGCTGCTTTTGGACTATAGGACCGTGATGGATACAGTTAAATCTGAACTGGAGAAGGAGACAAAATTTACAAAATTGGAGATAAGTGTAGGAGTGAAAATGGAGCAGACTCAATTGAAAGTGAAGGAAGCAGTCCTCAAACATCATCATCTGAACATCATCTCTGAGGAGGTAAAGAAGCGAATCACAGGTATAAATGACAAGGGGAACATGGTCCACGCACCTGAAATCCGCCCTGAAATACCATATGCGTACCCTTTATACAAGGTTCACAAACTATCTCAAGAACAAATCGAGGCAAAGACTATACCACCTGTCAGATTAGTTCACGCAACTAAAGGAGGGCCCCTTTATCGTTTAGAGAAGTTTGTGAGCCCGTACGTCACTCAGATCAGCAGAAAATACTGTGAGGAGGAGTTCATCTTGGATACCCCAGACATTATTTCTCAGATCAACAGCTACAACAAGGAGACGCTAAAGGGCGCTTCTAGAAACTTGCAGCTCTTTACTCTAGACGTGGCAGCATTATATCCTAGCATCAGGCCTGAACTAGCGCTTACTGCTCTTGAGGATGCCCTCAATAGTGATACCAACTTCTCACAAGAGCTAAAAGCGGCTTTGCATGAGTTCACTGACCTGATTTTCCGGGAGTCCTTTGTCACTTATCAGGGAGAGGGATATATTAACAAGGAGGGTATCCCGACGGGAAATTGTATCTCAAGACAAGTGGCAGATGTGACGATGCATTGGCTATTGTTTAAACAGATCAAAGGAAAGATGAAAAACTGGAGTTTGGTAGACCTCTGGAGGAGATTTATTGATGATGTACTTGGGGTGTGGTTAGGAACAGTCCGACAGTTCAATCTATTCGTGGAGCAACTGAACAAACTGGCAGAACCATTTGGAATCAGATTTGCTGACCAACAAATCGGTAAAACTGTTAATTTCCTTGACATCACTCTAACCTTGGATACTTACAACCAGATCCAATATAGACTCTACAGAAAGGAGACAGATGCTAGGAATTACTTGCGAACGGATAGCTTTCATCCTCACCATGTATTCGAATCTGTGGCGTTTTCCCAGATGATACGAATCATAGAAAGGAACTCGCAAGACTCAACCTGTGTAGAAGACTTAATGGAGCTGAAAGCAGATTTATCTAAAAGCGGACATAACAGCGTTAAGTTAGAGGAGATCGAGCCGAGAGCAGTTGTCAGAGTACTGGAGAACACCCACGGAGCCAACAGGTCTAAGGAGAGTGAGAACGCTGATAACTTAGTCTTTTCAGTACAACACTCTTCGGACAACATTCAGCTGAAGAAGTTGATTCACGAACTTGGACCGGACATCAGGAGGATATGTGGAGATATACGTGTGATATTTGCCACACGAAAACATCCTTCAATCGGGAACAGGGTAGTGAAGAATCGACAACTTGGAAATAAGGCTGAATGTCCCCAAAAAACATCACAGAAGTGCTCAGCCCCTGGATGCAAGACTTGCCCGGTATTGTTCGATCTTGACTCTAAGATCATGGTCAACGGCATGGAGCTTAATCTAGACGAATCCCTCACGTGCAAAGATAAGCACATTATTTACGTTGCACAATGCCAGCAGTGTAGGGCTATTAAGGGATCTGAGGACACTTACTTTGGGCAGACGTTGACTCCATTCCACATTAGGCTCAA